AATGCACTAAAAATGTGTACGCTATTTGTACTCATAACTCAAGTAGAAGGACTGGATTTAGGGAGACCCACCCACCCACCCACCCCCAAAAAAAAGAAAGAAAGAAAGAAAAAGAAGAAAAAAAAAAAAGAAAGGAAAATTTGCTTAAGAATGACATATAAAACTGTTCGTTCAAAAGTTTAGATCTCTGAAAAATAGTAAAAATTAAAAATTGTGAAGGAAAACAAAAAATATTCTCTATATACATAAATAATAATACCACGGTTTGAAAATTACGCTGCCAGATCTATCGTCTGAAGAATTGATCAAATGATCATGTTTAAGTCTTTAATTCCTTTCGAAAATTAATAATGATGTATATGTGTCCATAATAATAATATATTAATAATGCATTCTTTACATTTAATAGACTGTACTTTAATTAGCGATATTTAGTGTTTCATATACAACAAAAACTCAAAATTTCACAGTTCGCACACATCACAAAGAACAACGTAAATATACACTTTTTTTTAATTAAACGAATCCTTGATACTCTGATTCGAGAGTATTAGATACACTGCCAAGGTATTTCAAATAGCATGTGCTGGCTGTTGTCATATATTTTCTTAAAATTAATATATATATATATATGTGTGTGTGTGTGTGTGTTGAATACTCGCAACTGCGTATATAATGCCTGCAAAATGCTCTTGAAATATATGAATGGACATTAAATTTCCTGAGATTTAGCTCAAATATTTAACTTAATCAAGATTTCTAATCTTAAAAGAAAAATTAATTTATTTTGAGAATTTTCAAGCAGCAAGTATCTGGTTAATAAGAAAATAAACATACGAACATATTTATCCATCAATCAAAATGTTCGGTTTTCTCTTTCGGATTTCAAAATCAATTATACTCGTAAATTAAGTACCGATGCACTACGTTTGATTTATAAAATAAAGGAGCAAAACACAACTGAATTATTTTTAATTTATCCCACATTTTCTTTATTATCCATTTATTTGATTTTTTAAAATTAAACACCAAGTACTCTGATGCAGGGTAAATCATTCTAATTATTTACGATTGCTTTTAAATGGCCTTACATAACTTTAAAAAAATATTTTCTATGTGTATCTGCTCCGAAATAGCAAGTATTTTCTATTTAAAAAATTAATTTTAAAAATCAGCTTACAATACCTCTTCATGACACTTACAAAAATCTATGCTACAGGAATTAAAAGCTCATTAGGTTCCCGTTACCGATACAAGCTTATAATATTTTTTAATACTTATTTAATTTTCTGCAGGGAAGAAGAAAATGGAATTATTAAGCATTATTAGGAGATAAGATTATCTTAATTGATATGCCTTCTCAGTTAAAATTTAATTGAAGAGGAAATAAGATAATTGAATGAAAAATACCTTAGCAAATACGACGATACACATTCACAAATAAAAATATAATATTAGGCAAAATAAATTATGTAAAATAAAATTCATACTTTTTTATCATGTAAAATTCGTTCCTCGTTACTTAATTTTTAATATTAGATTTAATTTTAACTAAATTACTTATTAACACAATTTTGTACAATTTAGTCAAATAATAAAAAAAGGCTTGAAAGTTAACTGGATTAGAAAAATACTTTTGTAGCATTGTTTTCACTAATAAAGATACGAAGAAAATTTAGTTAAGATAGTTGAAGGCAAGACAAATTCACACATGAAAATTAAAGGAGAAAAATCCTTATTTCCCGTCCCGCCCTGATTTGTCAATTTTTTTTACTGCAACTTCATAAAAAAATTTAATGCACGAATCAGTGCCATGCTACGCATTTAGAAATTTAAAAAAAAAGACCAAGATAAGGAATAATTGCACCAGTACTATGCTACGTATTTAGTATCAGTTCCGTGCTACGCATTTAGGAATTAAAAAAAAAAAAAAAAAAAAAAAAAAAAAAAAAAACTAAGATAAGGAATAACTGCAACCGTGGCCCAACCGACCCGGTTGCTGACTCTATCATATCGAAGAGCCTGGGTTCGAATTCCGGTGAAGGCACGTATGTTTGTAAATGTATAGTGCCTGTGTAGCATGGGGAAACTAAATATACGGCAAGCCGAAAGTCCTCTCGAGAGGTTGCGATAGGGGAAGAAGGCGAGGTGTTTGTACAATTAAATAAATTGTACAAACACCTCGGACTCGTCTCCCAAGGGTGCTCTCCATAAATATTGTTGGACGGGAGTGAAAAAAGTCATACTGTCACCTGGATAAACTCAAGACTGTTGCCAAAGACAGTCTCGCACTTCTTGCCAAGACGAATTTCGCAGGCTTGTTCTGATTCACACAAGTGAGATAAGTCACAAAAATAAATTTTAAAATATCTGAAAGCTTTCAGATCTTACATTACGCCCAAAGGGGCGTTTTTTAACATTTTGTGTGTTACCTTTATTTATTAAATATCATGTTCTTCGCACTGCACTGAAACCATAAAATTCAGTTCAACAGCAATATCGCAAAATAATTTTAAAACGAGCTTATCCAATACACAGTCTCGCTCGGTGGAGACAATTTTTTTTTCGTACAGTGTTGCCATTCCTCGCTTTGAAATCGTTGAGTTTGTTAATCAAAAATTTTTAATCTCTGACAAAAAAAGGAATAGATAATAAAACAAATTCCAAATTCCAAATTAGGGCTTGTAGATACATTTACGTAGGTTCTTCATTATTTAATTTCTTGAACTATAATACAGGGTAGTTGGAGGTAACAGTTTAAAAAGTGAATCAACACAGAAAGTGAATAGACGCAAATGTCAAAGCGAAATTAATAGCCCTTCTGGTCTAACGCCCTTTTGGACTAACAATAATTGCACCAACTGAAACTTTTCAAAATGTTCATATGCGAAGTCAAAAAAATAATTAATTTTTGTAAAAATAATTTAGATACCAGGATTAATATTTTCAGTTTTATGTTAAGCAGTGCAGAACTTCAATCTAATTATTGTTGATATATCTTCTTCAAAGCTGAATCTGTGTCTTATAGCCCTCATAATTAAGGATAATTTTCCTCTCATAGAAACTCCACCTGATTCTTTTCATTTAAAGAACTTTCAGCGACAGACAAGTACAGCCGCTGAATATTCATAGTTTGACTCGGGTTCTCGTCCCGGAGAACGGGTTGGCCACATGAAAGTTTGTGGTTTTTCTCATATGTATGTGAATATGAGCCAGTTTCCCTTAAAATGTCCCTTAACATAAGCATCCATCTCATAGCAGATAATTTTCATGTCCTCTGCCATAATCCAAATAAATCAAAAGAAAACCTTTTGATCTAACACGAGTTATTTTGTGATTTCTTCGAAAAATCGAGGCAATTAAATTGGAAACACTTGGAACACCAAGAACATGTTATCAGGCAGTCTATAAACAGCTGAGTAATTGAAAGAAGACAACTTTCGCGCGTGTATCCTTGTCACGGGATCCGTTTTATGAAGAAACATGTTAAATTATTTTAATGCCGCAAAGCACACGTGGGCCATCTGCCTAGTTGGAGAGATGCCTTCATAGAAAACGTTTAATGAAAACTAGGTTCATTATAAATGAAACTTTAATGAACTTTTCATGAAAACTGGGTTCAGATAAAAATGGAGAAAAACCGCTAATATCAACCGTTCGAATCCAGGAAAATGTTTACAGCATCCAGTAGTCTTAACCACTTAGCTACTGGTGAAGATTAATGAAGAAAAGCATAGAGATGAGAGGTGATTTTATTGAAGAAAAATGAGTAATAAAGTTTTCAATGTAAAATAGAATCCAAAGGGAAATTCTGAGAGAAAATAAATCCCTTAAACTCAAGATTAGTTAATCAACATATTTCAATATAACTTCCGCCATCACTCAGAAGTCTCGAAGCATTTCTTCCGCAGATACGTCTATGGGGTATCAAAACTCATAACCGAGATGATTGCAGCCTCAGGCACCTTACGGCTTTATTGAAGTGAACGTTTCTGTGTACCTAATTAATTTTTTCAAACGGAAAATATTTAATTAGATACCTAAATTACTTCTCTGAAACAATTTTCATTTAATATTTAACTGGTTTAGGACAAACGGATTTTCCGATATATAAGTAAAGAAAATACCAAGAAAATATAATTTTCAAAAAATGAATAAATAATGAATAAAATAAAAGCAACAAAAATTAATATGAATATAAAAAAATAAGAAAATTAAATACTTTGAAGAATAAATCAAATAAATAATACTGTGAATAAAACCCATATGTGTGTTTAAAATAAAAGTGAAAAACAGTAAAATGAAGTAGGAAATGGAGTGGAATTTTTTTTCCCTTTTTGAGTGGAAATTCCCTCTAAGTAGTCCTTGCTTAAAGTATAATATAAATACACACAAATTCCCTCTGGGGCATTTACAGAAGATGATCTTGAATGGAAGTGTTTCCTTTCACGACTAGACTTCCACGAAAAAGATCAGAAAATATCCGGTGGTCGCCCATTTCCGCTTCCGTGCTAAACTAGGAATCAAAAACTTATTTTGAGATCGAATGACAATCAGACATTTCAACTTCAAAAGGAATTGAAAGCTAAAAAGCCGAATTTGACTCTTCTCAGCAAGGGAGTGGAAAACAAACACAGCTTGAGAAAACTGCTTTAGGCAAGAGAAAGGTGTATTAGGTAGATACCATTCACTGCAACTGTTTCCCTTTGTGATGGATATTTGTTGACAGGATGGCATTATCCGAAACATTTCTTGCTTTTACTTTCACTTCTGTAAACAGAGTATTATTTTATATCCGAAATAAACGAAGCCTTTATTTTAAAAGGACGTAAAAACTCTTAATAAAAACAAAATTCCACCTTTCTTCAAACACGGTGTCACTTATAGAGTGGCTTATATATATATATATATATATATAAAGAATGCCATAACGTTAAAAACTGTCATAAAATTTAACAAATGGGGCATGAAATTATTAAGAAAAGTAGAAAAGAACATACCAGATTACATTCTTCGGCATAATAAAATAACATTTGCCTACCTGAAAGATAAAAAAAAAATATCAGCATAAACAAGAACAACAACAACAAAATATCAATATGTTTATTAGACATAATAGGTATTTAAATAGTATAATCAATGCTTAAAAACAGCCCATAATAAGGTTTTTATGTGCTGATTTTTAAAGACAGAATAATTAATAGTCTTTAAATTAAGTAAAATTCAATCTTAAACTAGAGTTAATTGTACATTATGTGTGCTTTTGCCCGGGACACACCATTTAAGTTGTGATGTTGAGAGGCCCCAACTTGTCTGACTGCTATGAACTGGAAATTACACAGACTCTTAAGAAGGGTTTAACTCCCTTTTTATTTAACTTTAGAAGTCACAGTTGCGTTCACTCGACGCTCACAAACTACGCGGACCCGGCGGTTACACAAAAATAGAAAAGTACAACTAAAATGAATGACTGGATGAATAAACAAAGAAGTCACTACTCTACGAGGCTCTATAATCTGTAACTATCTTAACCGCGTTCTAAGATACAGCTGAGATTCAGCAAACTTTCTGATTAAGAAGCTGAAAGATTCAACTAACTGCCGAAGTAGGCACACAGGCCGAAACGCGCGGTTCTTAAATTTCTTACTAGCAACCTTCATGCTCGTGATTCAAAAAGCACACTTACAAATCTCGTTTCCCTTCTATTTAACTCAAATTACTTCTTCTAAAATTTGAATACTCTGCGCGTTCTACTACAATTTATATACTCTAGCACTGGCAATTCTAGGGGAAAGTAAAGGCTTGACAGGAAAGATAGCTTAAAATAAATGTTAGTTAAAATAAATATAAACCCTACAAAGTAAATGAAATGTATACAACTACTGATTGGGTTATCCGATAAATAATGCGATTTTTTACACTATTTTAATTTTTCAAAATTAAGATAAACAAAGGTCTTTTTTAATCTAAAATATACGCTCCTTTATCCTTTGCTAGTTCTTAATACTAATTACCAATTGTATATTGTTCGAAGCTTTACAGGTCTTCCAGGAAGAGGCTTATCTTCTGGGCTATAGTTTCCGGATCGAAATTTCTGGAATTACCGTTGTCAATAGCTTACGCTTATACTCGGATACTCATATACGGCATTAACGTTTTTGATAATAATTGTTTAATTGAAGTCAGAAAGCAAAAATACTAAAATTGCTCTTTTATTATTTCTATTTACCTTGAAGAAACACTTGTTAAAATCGAACTGCACTTTTAAAAACTTGCACTAAGAATAAGAACAAAGTAAAATTATTAACATCCTTTCATAGCAAGTTGGTACATGTAGTTTATCTTGTCCCACCTCGGACTTTAATTTCAGCTAAAAAAATGTCATTTTTTATGGCTAACCCAATAATTGAATTTAGCAAAGATTAAAAATCTTAACACCATTTATTGAATAAAAAGAGGAGGTAAAAATTCTATAACAGTCATTCAAGAAATTATGGTATAGTTTTCCTACCATAATTCACTTGCAATAATTAAATTACAGAAATGGTGTTGGTGTATTTAATTATGGCAAAGCACACGAGGGCTATCTGCCTAAGGGGAGGGATGCTTTTCGTGGAGGACTTTCTAAGGGAAACTAGCTCGTATACACGTTACACATGGGGACCACGAAAACGCCCATGCAGCCAGCCCTTTCGCGGGATTCGAACCTCAGACCGAACTACCAGTGTTCAGCGACTTTACCGCTCGGCCGCTGGTGGGCTTAAATTACAGAAATGAAATAAAAGCTTATGAGTTCTTCAGTTTCTAAATCAGCATCATTCTGTCCAATAAATACTGAATACTTTGAATTTAAAATAATTCACCAATGTTTTGGTTATAGAAGCATCTCTGTTTACTAAAAGTTCATGTTCTCAAATTTAACAGCACAGCATTCAGCAAATTAATATCATTTTATTAGTAATTTATTCCCCAAATAATAATTTGTGAAGTTAGTTAGAAAGGAATGCTATGACCACTGCGTTTCAGATAAAATCATTATCCTTCTAAGAATCTTATAAGACATGTTACATTCTCTTCTATTTGTTTCGAAGTAATCTTCTGATTTTCTGGAAAACACTCTTCGTCGACATCTATTCATCCGATTTGTAATTTTTTTTTAAAAATCTTTCCCTCTAGTTTTAATCACGAATTAATTGTCTTCGAAACAAATTTTCAGAATTCCAGAGCAATGGAGAGTTATTTTTGACAGTTGCAAAACTCAGAAACAAAATTTTTACCTTGCATATTCAGTTGTCATTTGAGCAAGAACTACTTACGATGATCGTGTTTAAAAATAGTTTGGATTTTTCGTCCACACGAATTTATTTTATTCTTCTGTTACTAAACACGCACAAGGGCTAAGAAAAATCTTTTGAATCTGTTTCGAAGAAAGGATAACAAAGATAAATGTAAGAGAAAGTTAAACACATGCAAAATAATCTTGGTGTTTCATAATTTCGCTGAAAATTTCTACTGTTATCATTTTTCGTATCAAAATGTATCCATCACTTACGATTTCGGCACGAAGCCAAATAACTAATTCAATAATGGTAAAGAAAACTTCAACAACATTCTTCAGCCTGGAAAAATATGCAAGCAGCGAAATCTGACCGAAAAATAAAACGTAACAAAAGCAATTCGATGAAACAACGTAGAAGCAACTTGAAAAACTTCGTCTTGGACAAGTGTGATTTTTAATGTCTTCTGGCTCCTGAAATTGTGTTTTTTATGTTTGTAAGATTTTATTATTTCGATAATTGCAAATCTTCCCTTCCGTCTGTCTTATCATCATTGGCTCTCTTTGCCAACGCATTCCAAAAGTATATAAATGAAAGATTTGAGATTAGTTTCTTAGTTAAAAAATATTTGTCTTAGGAAAGAAACATTTCCAGAGGTTGCCTCCCTAGTAGAACAGGCTTATATTTGTATTCATGTGAGAAAAATCACGGAAACTATATGAAGCAGTCAATTCAGTCTCCAAGAGTATAAACTGGGACTAAGCATTAGCTGCCACGGCTTTAGCTGGTCACTCGTTGGTTCCCCCACAACGGAATGAGGTACAGGCTTGACAATGTGTTAAAACCAAGAGACTTTCTGTCAGTGTAGGCATTCAAGAACTGTTTCGACCCTACGCCAGTGCCAGCCTTGTGCTGGTATTCCTATGAGAGTACGCTAAAAATGATAATTTAGACCAAAGACTTTCGCGTTGGATTTATGCGCTGTCACTAATTATAATCCTTGGCTAATATTATGCAATATTTTTGGCATACCAGTGCCTTTGTAAGCTGTGTCCTGTCACGCTAGTGTCATCGTTTCCTTTTTCTTCGTCACACTGGTGTCGGTTTATTGTAAACCAGTCTGGATCCTATTCTTGCGAGAACTGAGTGGTGCAAGGGACAAACGTGCCTTACTCATCTTATTCATTGTGACATCAAAATTTCTATTTTATCGAGTCAATAATACCAGTAATTAGGATCGGTCAGACCTAGGTATCGGTTCTGTACCAGCGTCGGTTCTACACCATATCGGTCATATGAATTTAATTCGACCACAAGAGCTTACTCAAGAATACATTATAAGCATGATTGATTTGGAGGAGGTGATCTAAATACCTGTGAGCCTAGAATGATCTTACTTGATTAAGGCAAAGCACGGTGTGGCTCCCTGCCAAAGAAGGGCATGACGCTTTGGTGGAAATCTTTCTACAGGAAAATGGCTCACATTTACCTTAGATTTAAAAAACCAAGAAGACGCTATGCAGCCAGTTAGACAAGCTGAAAATAAAATTTGGAATTCTAGAATATGTTTCGTGATTTCAACCACGTTGTAACGGGTCAGCTTTAATACATGTGAGAAATTTCTGTTCTTTTAGCAGCAGACATTATTTAATCAGGCAAAGTATGTAGCTGATCAAAGGCATCTGATTTCTCAGATTTTATTCTTGTTATTAATGTTACTCAATTCCAGTTAAACTCAAAGTACTTTATTGGGGAGAAAAATGTTAATTTAAAGTGTGACTACCAGTGTATTTTGAAATAAATTTTGCAAAACCTGCTGTATCCAAGCGCAAATGAACCTGTTGGAATGGAATTATATATTTTTACTTAGATTAAATTGCTGTCCTTACTAGACATTTTCGATACTTCAATATCATCCAGATCATTATCTAAAGAGCAGTATCGATAAAATCTTTCAAATAATTATTTAGATTTTAAATTAGAAATAAGGAATGAACTCTAGATTACTAAGACCCCTTCGTACGAAGTAATTTTAGTAGACAGATGAGGAGGTAAAAACGATCTGAACGCTTTCCTACGATTTAGATAAATAAGAAAAAAACTAAGAAAGAGATAAATTTTGGAAATGCAAAGCTCGACCTCTCTCACTTGTCCGATAAAAAAAGAATGGCCGATCGAAAAGGAAGGCAACCTTAAACTTTCTTCGTTGGGAAAAACAAATATTACTTGGAAAGTTTCCTTCCGTTAATGCTCTTCGACTTGACACGAATGATAGCGAGGACGGACGGACGTTCCAGAATTTCGAAAACATCATTTTCGATCCATCGAAATGTTCTAAATGGTTCCCTAGAGAGTCCTTCGAACGGGGAACGATATTACGGTATAGGTCGCCTTTGCAAAGAGGAACGATTGCTACCAATTTCGATATTTTAGCTTTTTTTTTTACCCTTCTAGGTTTTTATCCTTCTCTTTTTAACTCCCATTGCTTGGAACACTCCTTTTCGATTGTTTTTTACACATTTCTTCTATTTATTTCCTGAGTTTACACTTCGTCTTGTTCAGTTCTCAACAAGAAAGGACTGATTTCTTTACTCCAAATCGATGTCTATTCAGATTTCTGAAACTCAGAAAGAATTATACTTTTTTAAAAACGAATAATAATGACTGAAATGATAAAGTAAACAAAATGCTTGACGGAAATGCAACAAAATATTTGCCGTTTATTTTATGTTATTTTAATTATTTTTTACAGCTGTCCTTCAGC